GACTGCATCCGGCTGTAGTTTGCAGTTTGCAGCCAGCAAGCTGTTCTGGCCATTCTGACCCACAATCCTCTGCAGTTATGTCACATGTATGTTATGGTGTCTCCTGCTAATATAAACAAGCTTGAGCTGCCAAGAGCTCATTTCACACAACAAACTGCAACAGGGAAGGCCTAAGGCGCAATACTATGACGAAGTAGTGTGTCCAAAAGCTGTACGTACTGTAATAAACACAACGTACTTCACAAGTGCAGCTGTGGTTTGCTGCTCTTCAGGAAAACTGAAGTGTGACACCATGAAGGGTTTGTTCATCTTTACATCTGCTGGACCAATCACAACCCTTCGCCGTCACCCACCACGATGCAGTAATCGCTCAGGAATGGCTCGAGGAACACGGCAAGAGCGCAAGGCCTTGAAACTCCCCCTAAACCAACAAAGCAAGAGGGACCAATGTTTGGCAGGTGGTTGAAGTTGTTAGATGCTTTAGTTGACTGGTTCCTACAGTTTTCCTCATTAGCTCAATTGGCTAATTACCATATTCAGCACAATATACCTTTATAGTCGCAAGAACATGTAGGAGTAAGTTCAGAGTGAAGAATAGATGAAATAAAGACAGAAAAACTGACCATTTTTTACCTTTTTTAATGAACCCTGATTATTGTTTAATTACAAATGAAGATGAACAGATAGAAGGGAAACAGAAGTACAGGTGGATCCTCTGTGATAAAAACGAGACTCTCCGTCTCTCCTCTGGACTGAAACATCGCTGCCGAGGCGAGAGGAGAGACGAAGACCAGGCGAGAGGACAGGAAGGGACGCATGTCAAATAATACAATGGTTAAACAGTACAATGCTCTTCTTACAGAATCCTCCAAAATGGAAAAAAATATATATACACAACATCAAAAAAAAAAAGAGAAAACAATAGTTTCTTCCCCTCGCTGTATATCATGTGGGAATCATGTGACCCTCCTCTTGTCCACGGTAACATGGTTATAAAAATCAGCGTGAGTTTAAAAAATAATAAACAAAGACTGCACTGAAGCCGACTAGTTAAGGTTCATGAGGAAAGAGTGCAAACTGGAACAAGAACTCACAGAAAACAACCAGGAATTCATGGAGAAGAGGCCGGGCCAATGGCAAGAGGGTACAACATATTCAAAAAAATGTTAATAATATAATAATTACAAGAGTAACAGTAATATGTCTGAAAAAATACAGAAAAAAAAAAAACAACAAAAAAACAAGATAACAGCATCGGTGAAATCGAGGGGTGAGAATATCGACCTGGCGGGGAAACGGCTGTTCTCTTGTGTTTAGTTTGAAGCCACGACAGGTAAGGCAGCACAGGTGTGACAGTTCAGGTGTTTGTTTTCCTTTACCAGACGCTTGCTAACTGCTACATCTGTCCTTAGAGTTTCCTAGATGCATTCGCAGGCACAGTTTCACAAACCTCCAGGTTTAATCCGAATCACAAGGATCGATGTGTAAGACTTTGTCTTTTGTGCCTGGAAAAGAAAACTAATAAATTCAAAGACACAGATACAGCCAAGTCAAAAACTATTAAAAACACGCTAAATTTAGATTCATAGTGGAGTTTCTCTATGAACAGTGGCTTTATTCTGGCTGGAAATGGCACAAACAAGTAACAAAAGATGGTGAGATATTGTTTTAGACAAGCTAACGATGCGTCTTCACTATTTGTACGTGGATTTTAACATTTTCACAATAAATGGAAAGTCAAAAAGTTGTTAAAACTCAGTCTTAGAGCCTTCACCTGCCACCACAGCAAACAAACAGCTTTTTTTCATGCCTCCACAAGGATTCTGGACCTTCCACGTGCCTGTCTCAGACTCATTACGATGTTCTTGGTGGTGATTGTTGGATTGTACCATTCTTGCCAGTGCAGGATCATTTCTGTCCTCCTGTGAGGCCCTTTGAGATCCTTCATAGTGTGGGACTTCTTGTACTTTTTAATTCTGTGGCTTCTGGCACTTGAAAACACTTGGTTTCGTTTTTATAGCCTTTCCTTGTCTTGTGAGCGGCCACAATGTGTCCTCACTGAGCTCTTTGGTTTTAGCCGTAGCTTACGATTGATTAGTGACTGACCACAACGACTGCAGCTGCTCTTATCCGTTGCTTATCTGAATGTTGTCCAAATGGTCCTATCATGTTCTGAAGCTGCATTTTCTCAAAAGTTTGAGACAATTTCAAGTAAAAATTTAAAAAAACAAACATGGTAATAGTTAAAAAGTTTCATTAAAACCTCTCGCACAAGGTCGTACTGTCTGTAATCACTTGACACGAAACGAGGAGAGGCCATGAATTCATATCCAAGTGTTTTCGAGCACCAGCAGCCACAGGGCGAACATTAGTCAAAAAAGTACAAGGAGCTCCACTCTGTGAAAAATCTCAAAGGGCTGGTAGGAAGAAAAAGTGACCCCTGCACTGGCAAGAACAGCAGAGTCCAAGAACACCCATCCTTAATCCGAGCAGCTCTGGTAGCAACATCTCCACCAGCCTTGTTCAGTGTCTGCTGAACAAGGCTGGTGTTCGTGGATTCCAACCAGGGAGGACTGAGAAGCCCAGGGTTTCCAAATTCCAGTAAAAACATGCAAAAAGCTTGTTAGAATCACGTTTGTGTTTTTTGTTTTTTTTATGTGGTAGCAAAGAAAAGGCTACACAATTGATTACTGCAAAAGGATATGAATGCCTTTGGACATAGCATTGTGGGTAAAACTATTAAAAAACAACAGTAACGCTTACAAATGTATCATTAACATCTCTAACACAAGGTTTTCCTGTCTTTTGTCACTTGTTTATGTCATTTCCAGTCAGAAGAAACCTACTGGTCAAATAAAAATATCACTATAAATCAAAACGTTGGCATGGCTGTGAATAATTTAGGGTTCAGCTGTATGAGACTGGAGCTGGTTGGACAATCTGGACAAGAAGAACGGGGCTAAATTACTCGGGGCCAGGAGTCTCTGTAGGCTGTGTTGAATAACTTGCTGTGTGTAGATGGCATAACCATAGAAACCACACACACAGCAGCCAGAATGAGCGAGTCAGATGATGGGAAGTCCCTCTCTCTCCGCGGCGCTCTGAGGTTTTGTGATGCCATTTCCTCGCTGTGTGCGACTGGGTGTAGTTTCTATGGTCGTGCCGTCTCCTCCTGAGAGACTGCGGGGGCGTCTGATGTCACACGTGATGTCATGTTTCCCTTTATTGTAGCCACAGTAAAGCCTCGCTGCTAACCAGGACAGTGTGTTTGTGTGGGTTCACACCGAGCTGCTCCAGTCCACAGTCCACGCTCAAACCAAAGTCCGGTCGTGTCTGCACATCTGTGTCGTCCAATCAGAACGCTCGCCGTTCCGTTACAACCTGCTCCTCTGTTTTTTTTGCAGCAGATCTGGGTTAAACGGTGGCTGCAAATAATTTAGGACTTCAGTTTGAGGTGGGTGGAGTGGACCAAGCAGGGGAAAAAAAAGTGAGCCAAATTGTTCACACACACACACAAGCAGAGGATTAATTTACCTTCCTGTGACTGTCCTGACGTGGTAACCCCACCCAGCTGCCGCTCCACGCGTGTTAAAACAAACACAAGCCGACCCAGGTCTGGCTAAATGTTCGCGCTCGCTCGTTCGTCCCGTCACACCCCTCCGTCCCCTGAATACACGTTTTTTTAATTTTTTACAATATAAATATAAAACTCTGACACCGGTGGCCTTTGTCATTGCAGCTCAACGGTCAAGAGAAGGCAAGGGTGAGAAGGCAAAGGCTGAATTATACTGGTAATAATATGCCCGTTAGAATATATACATATCTTTACCATTAAAAATAGTAGGATTTTCCTGATTTGTATCAAATGACCATATTGAAATATAATATTTGAATTCAATATATATTTGAATAAAATATATATGTGTAGATTTGCTTATTCTGTATCTCTCTTTTACAAAAGCAGAAGGCATGGTGGTAGTGTGTGATATAACATTTTGCTGGGGGTACTTGATAAAACTTGTGTTGGCTTTAAAAAAAGGCACAATCTCATTCTAAATTGTTTTGTTCGTTAAAATGGGCACGTCTTTTCTTTCTTCTTCGTCTTTTTTTTGTTTTTACGCTATATGAATAAAACGTCATAAAAATATCTCAGTGAAGGTTTAGCCTGAGTTAACCTCGATGCTCCACATTCATGGTTCCCGTTTCTCCCCAAGACAAATCGGTTGGCTTCAATCGTCAACGTGAACAGATTTGGCTAATATATCCAAAATACAGAAAGCCCTCAGATCACTGCAAAATGCCCTAAAATACTGTCCACGTCCTTAACAGGCACAAACGTCCTTTGACAGAAAGAGTACAGTCATTTAAAAAAAAAAAAAAA